TTCATCTCCAACGGATTCACTGCGGCGTGCCAAAGGACCATAAGGAGCAAGGGTGTGGACAACAGCTGTGGCAAGCTTGGTGATAACACGTCCTAACAGCTCAAACAATTTATGAACGTCGTGTGCTACCGATGATCCAAGGCTCACATCGAGATGCACTGCAGCTTCACTGTTTGCAGTGCACAAAAACCCCTGGCCAGAGGATGCAGGATGCAAAACGTCTTGCAGGATTTCTTGGTCTCCCAACGACGCTTGGCAGGAGTTAGACGGCATAAACGGAGGACAAAACATGAAAAGGCCACTTTCTTGAATGAGTAAACCTTTATCAACAACCGCAGGCAATTTCAACGCGACACGTGGGGGGTCCCAAATGTCATCCCCTGGCGCTACAGTGGTAATGAGTGCCGAAACAAAACCACGATGTTGATGCTGCGCAAGGAGAACATGAGCAAGCACTTCTGGGGGACCTCCAAATGGCTGCGGTTGGATGACGTAGAGAAACACTTCAGCTGTCGGGTCAATCATGTCATGCCATTTGGCAAGAATGGTGTCCTTCCATGTGTCTCGATCAGGCGAAAGGAGAACTTCACGGCCACGATTGGTACGTGGGAAACGGTCATGATCACAAAACCAGGTTTCAACATAGAACCTGTATGGACCCTGAGGCGTCGTCAGCAAATAATGCTGCCAAATGATTTGAAGCTCGGGAACCAGATTACTAGGCACGTGTTCAACAGCCGGCAAGTCAGCAGATCCCCTGGCTTGGTCTGCAGTGGGAAACAGGGTGGCATCATCAGCCCTAAAGGACATGCGGGGCGGTACCTGTGAGGACGACGCGGACCTAGGCAATGGAAACCCGTCATCATCAACCAACGCAAAACGATTTCGAAACGCATCAACGGTAAGACACACACCAATACCATTGAAAACTGGATCAGTCTGCGTTCGATGGAATTGAGTTCGACCTGACCAGGCAACGCATCGACGGGCTCTACACAAGGATTGAACATCTAAAATACGGGTGATGATTTCTTGGGAGAGAACCGTAGGAATGGACTGCGCCCTTCGGTGAGTAATGTCCCCATGCAAACCCTGAAAAATGGCAGAAAACAGGGCAGTCAGCCTGGCTTGCTGAATCCCTTGCTCCAAAATTACATGCGTCATACGCAAGCCAGGAATATCGGAGGCAGGGGATGGCTTAACGATATGAAAAGCCAAATTCTCAAAAGGTCTCAACATATGCATCCACGGCGTGCACAATTGGGCAAACCATTCAAAGGGTCGATGCGAGAGGCGGATGAGCCGTCCTACCAAACAAACTGGCGCATGATCATGGTGAATAAACCAGGTCGTGACATGCATAACCGGCCCTTCTTCCGGAATATCGATAACTGACATCTCTTGGAATTGAGCTCTCATTTCGAGATCAAATTCATGCCAGTCAGGGGCATTTGGAAAAATCGGTGCCGCCTGCATCGGAATGTTGGCTTCAAATGAAGGATCCTCCGCCACGTGTTGATCAGCAAAGTGACATTGCCTTGGAATCGGATAGCGGCAAAATGTGACACAGTCATGCATCGCAGCAGGCGGAGAAGAGCCATGGTCGGGCAGGGGACGGGCGTTCACTTCAGCATGGTGTGGCAATGTAGGGTACACCTGAGCAAATGATGGAAGCTGCGGATCAAACAAGTCCTCAACGAGAGATGCAGCTCGGCAAGTCTCGGCCCCGTGAACCGTAGCAGGTGGTACCTGTACACGGACATAGCAACCCGATAAGACCATTTGAGTTCCAGCGTTTTGGAAAAGCCAAGGGTTGTGATTAAGTGCTACAAGACACGCTTGTCCAGCGCTCTCACAGTAGTTGGCAACTCTGGCCAGCTGAAGCACACCTTGTCGCGTGAGAGTCTGAGGAACTCTCACAACTTTTCTGTCGACAGCTGGGGCCATATACATGTGCGCAACTGAACCCTGTTGATGAAACACCACATCCATTAAGACCAAACTGTCGGAGGAGCCAGGTTCAATGTCCTGCCGTTGCTGAACAATGACACTAAATTCATTGGCATGCTCTCCAATGGGTTTGGCCAATAAAGGGTGAAGGGCAACAATATCCGCAGGTGAGATCGAAGTGGCCTCTAGAACATCCTGCAAGAGGTTCGAAAACTGCCGCCATCGAACCCAAGCAGATTTGGTTTGCCGGTTCAATCTGTACAGGGTGACACGTCGAAGGTCATCCGCATCAGCAGTGGCACCTACGGCGGGGTCTGTGGCAAGAGGGTCAGATGCTACTGACTGTGGGTGCATATCTACATCTTGCTCAGGGTGAGGCTCCGGGGCAGGATCGATGCTTGAAACAGCCTCTGAGGGAACGCTTGGAGCTGGTTCAGGTTCCGGTCGACGACTGAGATAAACAACGAACCCATGCCCATGCTGCATTTGATGAACCCGATTAAAATCAATATACAGCTGATCCCTGGCATGAAAGATAAGACAGTCAAATTGATTGCAAAAAGGCTGGATACCTGCGCTGGTGACGAGATCTTGTCCACTAATGACAGGCTCGAATGAAACAGCGACTGCATACATACGTAGGTTTGGTTCTGTGATAGTGGGGGAAACTGTAACCAATCCTGAGAAACGGTCACTGTACATCCCTTGTGCCAGAATCAAGTCAAACAAGATATGGGCTTCATGCCAATTGCGTGGAGGATTTGGGCTGACCAAATCAAGCGTGAGATCCTCTCCCTGAACAATAAGGTCAGTCCAGGTGGCAAGAATCTGCGCCCTCCACAGGTGAGGCGGCCCTGTCATCATGATTTGGCGAGCCTGTAAGGACAGGGGAATATTGGTATGATGCAAGTACCAAGTACGCACCACAAACCCTTGAACAATCCGAACAGGGTTGGTTAAAAATTCAAGTGGAAGATTAACCATCATCTGCTGAGCAAACGGCGGAAGCCGAATTGGCGATACAGCACGGCTAGGAGAAGTGCCACTGGCTGTGGAGCGAGGTTGCGATGCATCAGCTGGACCCTCGTCAGCAGGCACATCCGAATCGGGACACATTACATGATCCTCCAGAGCTAGGCTGGCAGCACTGGGAGCATGAAAACATGTACCGGCATTGGAATTCGACATAACCTTGGAAGTGAAGACCTGAGTAGCCAAGTCCAAGGTTGAAGGCACCTTAAGCAACGCATGATCCTCTGGGATCGACACGGCCTTACGAAAAGACAGCGGATCGCAACAGAGTCCAAAGCAATTCAAAATGGAACTGGGATGGAGGTATGCGGGAACTGGGCATGCAAGGTCAGGATCAACATCACCTAAGCTGGTGGACGTCTTCGTTCCAATAAGCAGTGAGTTGTTCATTGGGTAGATGGGACCAGCTGAGAGCCCTTCGTCAGTCACTGGTACGGCATGCAAATTGCTGGAATCATCGTCCTCATCTTGACCCGCACTCTTGAGACCTGATGATACATGGTTCCAACCCTCGATCACGCAGTCAAGGGAAGGTAAATTGGCATCAAAGTCATGAGCATGAGGGGTCAAATGGTCACCTACAAATGCAAAATGGGTGAATAGCTGATCGATGGGACAGCCAACATCCCTGTCAAAATCAAAACTGGGGAGGGTTCTATTGACACCTCGGGATTGGTGGTAACTAGACCACGGCTTTGCAATGTGCGGCAGCACTTCGGCAGGCACACTAATTGAATGCATGTGGATGTGATCATCAGTTCCGATAAAAACATCAACCAAAGGATGAAAACGAACGGAAAGGCAGCCCTCAGCCTTGGTCCGATCAGGGGCATTCACACCAGGCATCTGAAAAGTGGAAGTTCCACATTGTAACGCAAGCTCCGTAGCTCTATGCGCAGCAACCCATTCTGAGCAATAGTCGGGCTCTTGAACAATGGAATGCGACCACTTGAGATGCTGATCTCCTATTTCAGGCAAAATGCCTATCTCCTGGGGCCTCTGGACCGCGCACTCAAAGGTCGCACAAATCCGGCCTAGTGAAAAGACGAGTCCCCATCTCCTGGCACGTTGCCTCCAGGCATGGGCAGTGGCGGCTCTGTGCGCTGCCGCTTGTTGGCCTGTTGTTCTGCCAACATTAACTCGTCTGCGTTTGCACTCAATGTCTTGAGACTTTCTCCAAGGTGCTGAAGGCTGTCTGTGATCTTTTGAGCACTTGAATTGACTGCATCCTTCGACTCTTTCGATTCTTCCTCCTCGTCGCTCACTGTCACAGTCATGTCCGAAGATTCTACGTGCTCTGATTTCTGCAGCTGAGATTTTGAAACTGCAAGGTTGGTACGAGCAGTGTCCAGCGCAAGTCGAGCAGCGTTCACCCTTGCAGAGAGGGAATCCTCTTGTTGTTGAAACTGCTGAGAATATGCTTGCCACTTGGAAACCTGCTCTACCAAAAATGTCCTCCAGGAAGAGTGAAGACTGAGGCGGGCCGCATTGGCATTTTGCAATTCCGTTCTGGCCTTCCCAAGTGCGTTCACCTGCTTGTGAAGGGATTTGATTGCAACCTCGCCCTCTTTGAGCTTTGCCTCCTTCATCTCTTTCTGAATATCCGGATGCAATCCCTCCGGATGCTTCTCCAGCAATGCGTACATGGACTTCAGCTTGTTTTCGGCAGCTGAGAGTGCTGTAGAACCCGCAGCCTGACCGGAATCCAGATGCGCGCTGTTGTTCGGAAGCGGAGGAGGCGGCGCCATTAGCCAAGGAGCTTCCTGGTAAGTCGGCAGGACCGCAGGAGGACCTGCCGGCACCCCCTGATCTGGGGGTGCAGGGTTTGGCAAAGGGTGTTGGGTCCCTTTGGCCTTGCCTTTGCCCTTGCCCTTGCCTTTCTTTGCGCGGTTGGAACTTGATCTCTGTCTGGCTGCATGGTTGCGTGGGGATTTGATCCACTGCTCTTCCTCTGCTGCCCGAGCATCCTGATACCAACCTTTCCCTCTGTGCGGCGTACTTGAACGACGACCCCATTGATGGGAAGGAGTCGAATGAGACGAAACCTGCTTTGGCTGATTCGAATGAGGCGTTCCTACAGTCCAGTGTTGACCACAAAGCGGACAATGGATAGCACGCTTCCCGTTCAAACTTCCGCATGTGCAATGCCACGGATACGTTGTGTTCTGCGTAGCCATTGCGACTTGAATTGCTTTTCCAATGACTCTCAAGAGTTGTGGATCTTTGGAATGATGGGCTGAAAGCCTGCGAAGTAAACCTTGAAGCTGAGCAAGGCCCAATCGCCTGATACCAGTCCTGTGCAAGAACCACCGAAAGCGGGCCTGGGACCGAAGTCTCCGGGCTCGGCGCCTGGATGTCAATGAAAAAGCCGCCAACTTGACAGAGAATCAAAATTGCCAGTCGGAACATGTAAAGCCCAAATACAGCCTAAACTGAAGGACACGACGACAGTCGCGCAAACGTAGTGTGGTGAAGGAATCCTAAACGGGGAGCAATATCAGGAAAATCAACCAATAATGCAAGCCCAAAGAATACCACAAGCACCCAGTGTTCGGCACACTGCAGAAGCCAGTAAAAGATGAATTGAATTGTAAATTGAACCAAAATTGAAATCCCAAGCACCTGTAAATGGGCCGATTAAACGACAGCCAGATACCGTGCGGCGTATGTAGGGGTTTTTTGGATCACCCCGAACCAAAGGCAGCAAAGGTCCTGAGACCGAAAACCAGCCGCCCGCGGTCGAAAATGGCAGGGACCGCTAAGGCTACGGAGCTTAAGGGGGAAACCCACAGAGCCGAAACCTTGTGGATTTTCCCATAAAAAATGGTGGATCTTTCCATTGCTATGTTAGTTTACCAGAGGGTACATGTTGGGGAACATCGGCCCTAAATCATCCCCAACTCCCATGGTGAATCCTCGTCCCCCAGGTGTCCCAATGGCCCCTCGTGGTTCATCTTCGCCCTGCTGCCCTCGTGGCTGTTGTATCCCTTGTCGCGCAACATGGTCCAATACGCGGAAGATCGAGGTGAAGGACCGTTTTGGAAGATCAACAATGGTTCATAGTTTGTAATGGATGGTGAATGTGTTTTTTGCTAATAGATCAATGATTAATGTTAATAATAGATTGATCCATTATCTATCCATTGATGTGAATGTTTTGTGTTTTTTTTTTAATGGCTAATAGTGGATAAATAAAACAGATCAATCATTGATAATCCACTATTAGCCACTAATTATATTCACGTCATTAGATCATTGGATCATTAGATCAGTATTAAATAATGGGATAATATTAACATCCATTAACCATTGGATTAATACACTCTTAGCCGTTCCCATCCCATTGAACCAGTGATCATCCATCCCATTCCCAAGCTATTAATGAACCATCCATCCCATTAAAATCCATTAAATTTGGATCATTGGATCAGTCGCCGATAAATCCTGTTTTCTCCAGTGATAAATGGGGGATGTGGATTCGACCAGCAAGCCATGGGCATTTGATGGGCAAGCCATGGGAGCCATGGGAGCCATTTGAGCCATGCGGATATGATGTGTGTTACTAGCATGGGAAATATATATATATATAATTAGTATAATGTGTATATCATGGAATAAAAATAGTAATAATATGTAATAATAACAATCATCATAATATGTATATATAATTATATATATATAATTATATATATCATAATTTAATACATAAATATACATCAAATGCGGATATGATGAATAGAACTGGTTTCTTGTGATTTCAAATGTTGCTGAAACAGCCAGCAGTGTGGTCTGGAGGACATGGGCTGCTGGCGCTAGCAGCTGCCGCATTCCTCGTATCCTTTGGTGGCTGTGCCCAGTCAGGGGGCATTTAATGAACCAACGTCACTTCCCTTCATGTGCCATTACCACAGATTGGGGTCACGCCTAGTATTGCTGTAATATTCTGTAGCCTCTGGTAAACTAACAAAACTATTGAACATGGCCATTTATACTTGATTTTTGACCCATTAATAGCATGGTGGATCTTTCCAGTTCGTTATGTAAACGTTCACCAGAGGGTAATATGCAGGCTCCATGAGCCACTGGCGGTTCCTTAGTATCCAACTTTGATCCTGACTTGGATGGTCATTATGAGCCCCAAATGGTTGTTGGTTCCTATCGGATAGATTTTGGATATCCGATCCCATTTCCATTCTGTACCAATTACTGTATTTTTCAATGTTTTATCATCTAGTATATACCCTCTGGTAATTTAACATAGCTATTGAAAATTGCCATTGAAATAGTGAGTTTTCCCATGAAAAATGGTGGATCTTTCCATAGTTATGTGGCTGTTTACCAGAGGGTACCCGTTGTTATCAACGCTAAGGTCCTGGTCTCTTCCTGCTGTTGGTGAATGGAAACATCACCATGTGCCTAGACGCTGATTTCATGGCGATTGAAGTGGTGATTTCAGCAAGAAAATCTGGAGATATGATGGAGATATAGTATGATATATATATATGAGGGAACATAATGGGTTAACATATGTTAAACATGATCTATTGCCATTTTTTACGATATTGGTTGTTAGTATTGGTAGCCATGATGGTTAACATGTAGGGATAGAGTGTTAAACATGATCTATAGCCACATATTTTTTTTCTTTAAATATTGGTCGTTTAACACATCAAACAATGCGTAAGTTATCAAGAAGTTCAAGAGAAAAGAGCCAGCCACCATGATGATATCTACGAATGAAATAATATCTGGTGGTATTCTGGTGGTTTTAAATGTTTTTTTTCTATTTGCAATATAATTATATACCAATGACTCAATGACCCACTACAATTGGCGGAGTTTCCAACGATCAATGGCAATATCCGCAGCAAACAATGGATATTACACGTAAGTTGCTAACATCGTTTGCTTCTGTTTTCAACATATTATGTTCATGTCCTATATGTCAAGAAGGAATGATGACGATGACGATGACAATGATGATGATGGTGATGATGATGGTGATGGTGATTGTGATCATCATGATGGTGATGATGATGGTGATGATGATGATGATGATGATGCCCACCCAATAATGACAAGTTGTATGTTTTGGATCAGGTGAAGACACCAAGCAGATTTAGTTTCTGTTGGTGTCCCCTGGTCACTCTTCTACCCAGCATCCGAGGCAACAGCACAACGACATGATGTTCTGGTCCTAGGCCCAGAGATGAAGTGGCAGGAATTGGATTATCATCCATTTTCCTTGCTTGAATTGAGTTGTTTTACCCTCTGGCAAACTGACACATTTATATACCCCCAAAATGACCCAAATGTAGCTACATACCCTCTGGTATTTTTAACATATATATAGCCTATAGCTATGAAAAATCACCATGTTTGACGGGTAAATCAACTACAAATGGCCATGTTCAATAGCTATGTTAAATTACCAGAGGGTATGTTGTTCTTGTTTTGTGCGATGTGTGTTTCGCAAAGTCGTGATGCCCAGGCCACCCTCCCAACTGGCGGATTTCCTGTTGGGCATGACCACTGCTGCCACTCGGATCGCCCATATTATTGAGGTTGGATTTTTCCAGTTGAGTAGTAAATTAGTGCATCAAACATTATCAAACTAACATGCATATCCAAATGTTTGATGCAATTTAATGCATAATTCTTGTATATAAACATATAATATATGAATATATTTTAAACCCCTATAAAAAGATGAATTACAGTTCGCAGCCCTCCAACTTTTTGGCCGTTCGCCACAAAATCGGTGCGGTCCGATGAGGCATTGGTACGTCGCTACAAGGGGACCAGGCAGGATGGGATCCATGGGTCACTGGGTGGTTGCGAAATCCTGCACCACCGAAAGGATGGTTGAAAGACTATAAATAATGGGATGTTTACCACCGTTTTCAACTGGGGATTTGGATTTCGCTGGCCCACCCACAGTATCACTGGGAATATAGTTTGGAACTATCATATGGAACTAAAATGAGGGAATATGAAAAGGGCTTTTACGCACCAACAAAAGGGAGATACACACATGAATATGTACCCAGAATCAACAGGGATATGGCGGACAAAACTCTATTGCCGGTTTCAGAGAATTTAAATGCGGGATTTGGAAGTAGCAACAAACGGGAATGTCAGCAACAAATTTGATATAAGCCAACACAACTTGGCGGGTTGATATACGAATTGTTTGCTAATTCTCCCTGAGAATGGGGTGATGGTCCCCAATATTTTTCAGTGGATTGGAAGCACCAAGATGATGGATCCGGAGAATGAGTTGTGGCCGAAATTTGCCGACTGGAAGCCCCAGACATGAGTTTAAACATCTGGGGAAAGCATCAATTTGATGCGATGCTCCAACAAGTTAGGTTTGGGATTTACACACATCCCGGTATATATATATACATATGTGATTATATATATATACATATGTGATTATATATATATGTAATCACATATGTATATGTATATATATATTATATATATATGATTATATGTGCAGTAAACACAATATAGTACAATTCTTTTGTATATATTTATATACACACATACAATACATACATATATTTCATGTTTCACAATGTTTCATCATGTTTCACCAGTGTTTGTGAACATCAGTTTGTCATCAGGTTGAAAGGCCTGGCAGATCTCAGCATGCTGCTGGTGCTGCTGGTTGCCTGGTTCCAGATGAGCTTCCTGTGGGATAGCATGAAGAACAGTGGTTAACCAGGTAGCCAGCAGCCAGCTGTTTGTGATTTTGTTTCGTGATTGACAGTGATTTATATACGATTACCTGATATAGTGGGATCAATTGGGATAAATAGTGGTTTATAGTGATGAATCAACTTGTCATGGGAATTTATAGTGATTGCCTATCTTTTTCTACTGTTCTGTGGATTGGACATATGAGAAATCATTGTAAATAGCCATGAATGAAGCAATATCAAACACGATCAGGTTGCTTTTCTATCGTTCAATGGATTGAACATCCCCGTGCTAAGTGGAGGTTTTAACGGCAAAATCAGCTATAATTGGTGGATTTTCCATTGCCATCATTTTTGATTACTAGAGGGTTATTATTGTTCAATGGATTGGAAATATTGGAATTTATTGCAAAAACCATGAATCAAGCAATATCAAAGCATATTATCATTCTTCCCAATGTCAATAGGTTGGTTTACTGGAACGTTTACGGTTGAACAATCCATATTTCATTCGAAAATCCATGATTTCCAGCTAAGGTTAAGATTTCCCCAACAAACCAATCCATTGAACTATTATGTATAGACAAGATACTGTAGCCAATATTTTGGATGGCGATTCTTAATGAAACGTAGGGACAAAGACGGATTCAGAAACTACGCCGGATTCAGAAACTAGGGATTCAGAAACTGCTCGTCGGATTCAGAAATTAAACGTGGTATTCAGAAACTATTTCGTGGTATTCAGAAACTATTTCGTCGGATTCAGAAACTACTCGTGGTATTCAGAAACTATTTCGTGGTATTCAGAAACTATTTCGTGGTATTCAGAAACAATTCGTAGTATTCAGAAACTATTTCGTGGTATTCAGAAACTGTTTCGTGGTATTCAGAAACTACTCGTGGTATTCAGAAACTATTCGTAGTATTCAGAAACTATTTTCGTCGGATTCAGAAACTGCTCGTAGTATTCAGAATACCTTTTTCCAGTTTCCCAATACCACTCCCAGTTTCCGAATACCACTTTCCAGTTTCCGAATACCACTTCCAGTTTCCGAATACCAGTTTCCGAATACCACTGTCCAGTTTCCGAATACCACTGCCCAGTTTCCGAATACCACTGCCCAGTTTCCGAATACCACTGTCCAGTTTCCGAATACCACTGTCCAGTTTCCGAATACCACTTCCAGTTTCCGAATACCAGTTTCCGAATACCACCTCCAGTTTCCGAATACCACTCGCCAGTTTTCCGAATACCACTGTGACCGAAACGTAGAATTGTGTGGCATGTCGTGGTGTATCAAAGGTTGAGGTTTTAGCCAGAAAACCTCTATTGATCACCATCATAGTAGGGAACAATGGGGAAGAACTGTCTTCTCCTGGGGTTTTGTAGATCATTTTCTCAGGGAAACCACTGGTTCTCCATATCTGACCCCTTCCCCATCTTTGGACCCCAAACATTCCCTTTTGTGGGTGAAGAAATCCTGTCAAAGATGGGTTCAGATCGCCATATTGTCCTTTGAACAACCTGGATTTAATCATGATACAGTGGATATCTCCCCATAACCTTAGATCCCCATATCCATGATTGATTTCAGAACACCGGAGCGCCTAGGTGGTGTTTCTGCTCCCCCGGCCGCCGCAAACATATGTAGCTCGGCGATCGCGATGGCTTTCCGGAATTTTGGAACGACATTTTTGCTGTAAATGATGGGACATGATGGTTCTTAAGGGATCTATTTTGGGCATATCATGCCTAGCAGTTCATGATAGTTCATGGTCTATTCAAGCCTTGCTTTGATCATTATTTCATATTATTTCCGCAAAAATGTTGGTTCACCAAATTGAAAAAAATTGGGCATTCCCATGATCCTGATCTCAAAGATGGAATCTTGGCGCTTGTGATATCCAACTCGAGCGATTTATGCTATAAACCCCCAGTTTCTACCACGTTGGTTGGTCTGTGGAAGTCTGAGAAAAAATGTTGCTTGGTTTTGGACGTCATTTCGTTGGTGAGATCATTTCACGACCCCCCCTGAATTGTTAGAATTTGTTTGATTCTACCTCCAAGTTGTGTATAGATGAGAATGAAAAATGGCCGAACTTTTTAGGGCGAATCATTTTTGTGATTCATCCAGACATCCCATCAGTTTTTCTTCATCAACTCCTCCATTCGGTCGCTTTCACTGATCAGACCCGCATCACTCTTCATGCCACCTTGATCCATGTTTCATCATGTTGTTCCCATTTCTTGTTGCTGAAAAAAACTCCAATGTGTTCCACTGGTGTCTATCGAATCATTTTCCCAACATTTGGTTGCTGGTTCCCATCTTTCCCGAAAGAATTTTCACACTTTTCACCCATGTTCCCACTTTTATCAGAGAAATGTGACCGGAACTCTCCTCATAGATCCATATATAGATGGCATATTTGATGAAAAACATCTACAAACCCATCGGTTTTCCCATGGGTTTTCCCATGGTTTTCCCCACCATGGTCCTAGGAGATGCACCTGAACGGCTGGGAACCGCTGTTGGATCACGGGCTGGCGCCCCTGTTGGCAGGTGGAGATGGCTGGTTTAGATACGAAACTGGAAACGAATAGCGGATTAGTATGGATTAGTACAATGGTTAGTACATGTTAGTACTACCTGGAAAGGTCAGGCTGATGTACAGCCACCAGATATAGTTCACCTTTGTCAGATATTTTAGTACTGAAAATTTGTTTGCTATCAATGGATATCAATGTACTAACATGTACTAACCAGCTAAAAATGAGGTTTTTTGGCAGGCATGTAAGATTCATGTGTAGATTTAACCCACGGTGTTACTCTACGGTAACAGTTATAGGCCATCGAAATGAACGCCTGGTGGGACGTATAGAGTTTATTCATAAAGTGGGGCCCCTAAAAATGGTGGTATCTCAGTATATGTTTATCGAAGATTTATTCATGAACAAGGTGGAATCTGAACCAGTGAACCAGCAAACTCGAGCATCAAAAACTTTATCGTGAGCTTTTTAGGATCAACAGGAGGGGTTTCATCCGTCAACGTGCAGATTTGATGAAATCATTGGAAGCAGAAAACACCTTCAACTGTGCCTTCACTATCATATGTTGTGGATTGAGTCAGCAAAAAAAATGGTGCTAAAACCAGCAACAAGTGATGGTTTTGTTTTTCTTCCTGTAAGAATGATGGGTTTTTGACTTTTGACCAACCAAACCTGAATTTTGCCAACGTGCATACCGGGATATGCCCAACGACTTGATCTACATAATATGGGAATTTCCTGAAATGGAGGTACCCCAATAGCTGGATGGTTTATCATGGATGATAAATGGGGTAGCCCTATTAAAATGAAAACCTCCATATGGGATATCAGTAGAAATAAACGCTTCAAATTGTGCATTGGAATCATTGGTTACATTGCAATTGCGTTTGTATCAAGAAATGGGAATCCCAACTTGCTTCGCTAGACCATGGTGTAACCTAGGACCTAGCGTCTCAATTTGAGTGCCCTCAATCTCATCAAGACCAAAACTGTGAAGAACAGATTGAAAGATGAAATGGATTTGTCCAATGTATGTGTTTTCCCCCAAATTTGCATTTCAAACACGTGAAAAAATCCTGAAAACACGCAGTGTTCATCCCTTTGGTTTTGCCACCTGTGGTGATCTTGGTAGAGGACATGACGGTAATGTAACTTTGGACCAGTGTACAACTGACAAAGCTGCGGATACATAAGCAAAGAAATGGCCATTTGACAGGCAAACCTGCGAATTTCAGAGCCAAACGAGGAGTATCTTACAGAATATCCAACATCAGTCAAGGTGTTGACCATTCAAGAATAGTGATTTAAAGAAGGAATTGACTTGCCCAACTTTTTTTTTTAGAATGGCTTCAACCAACAACTAAGTTGTTGGAGTCCAGCAGAACCATCCAAAACTCGGTGCGACTTTTCCGATCTCGCGCCAGCCTTCATTCTGGGTTCCTGCGTGGAGGAAGACCCAGGCGGCGGTGGTCAACCATGGGGTGCCCCAACAAAATTGCCGGTCACTTTAACCATGTATGGGTACCATCTGGTTATGACTAACATAGCTTTAACAGTTTGCCATGGAAAGATCCACCATTTTTAATAGGTAAACCATCTATAAGTGGGCCATCTATACCATGGCTATGTTAAATAACCAGAGGGTAAGTGAATATGAAAAGATATGGAAAGTTAAAAAAAAACATCTTATACTATGAATGGGATGATTTTTCATATTGCCAAACTTAACATGGGAAAATCCCGATGGGCAATTTTGAAGGGACACTCCGTTCATTATGAATTGGTTCCCTTTGTTCTGGTGATTGGGAACCAATTTGATGATTTCGATAGTTTGTTTTCCCGAAAAATCTTTCGGCAAAATTGGAACTTAGCTCTCCAGTGTAGTAAAACATTTTGTGGTAGAATATAGGTGAAATAATATAGGTGAAATATGTTGAAATGTATTAGATGATATTAGATGCATATCATATAAATATATATATATTATATACATATATATGTATACATACATAATTTATATAATGCTATCCTGAATATTAACGTACACCTCAAAAATGAGCAAATTTTGTTTGAGGTGTATGTTAAGATTCGGGCAAGTATGTTTCTAGCTCCAAGTTACCCAAATTCAGGAAATGTACATATACTATGAATCCATCGTACTCCAGACCTGTCTCTTTGGACCCACTGTTTTCCCAACCTGTTTCCCTGTGTGTGACATGTTTCACACCTGTGAATTGACTGGTTGCGATGGGAAGACCTTTCAGCTCAATTTGGAAATTGTTTGGCACCATGTCGATGCCTTGTGTTGTTCCTGAAATGCTATGGAGCCTGGATGAGCTAAAGCGTGTCCTGATAAGTGAGTTTCCCATTTTGGAGACTGAAGAAGGAGAGGGTTTCAAAATATTGTTTGACTTGTTTGCTGAGTGGGCTGAAATCCTGTTAAATTACAACAACCAGCATCCGCTCGCTCTGTTGAATTTGGGGAATTGTTGCCCAGAATCCTTCTCTCAGGGGATTTCCGGCCGCGCATACTCATGTCGCATCGCACTCGAGGGGTGTCATCGCACCCCAGAGGACCCCATTGCACTCCACACACCTACTCACAGATCATCGTACTCCACAAAAGGGATCGTACACCAGAAAAACTTGCGCAGACAGCCAAAAACCATTTTTTTTGAAAAAATGAACCTGAAGAGGTCTTTTTTATTTTTTTTCTCTTCGGAGGTAAAATGCTCTGGAATATGATAATATGGAATATGGGGGAAATCGTTGTTTTTCCAACGTTTTGAACAGTCGCGCATACAATCGCATTCCATGAAATTTTGATACTTTTGACCCGTGGAGGCTATGGAAATTCTCGATTGTTGTCTTAGTCGTGCGCGATAGAGTGTGATGCCTTGTGGGTATGTGGAATGGAATTTGCAGCCTCGATTTGATCAAAAATGATATTAACATATGCCTGAGAAGCCCACATGCAGGAACGGCAACGCATACGGGGGGGTCATCGTACTCCAGGGGTGGCATCCTACTCAATGTAACTGTATTAAGTGGAAATATGGTACCATTTGGGTTCGAGCAAGAACAACGTAATCCAGACTTGGCCCCGTTTACAGATGCGGAAGCTGAGCCGCCAGCCAAACGCGTCAAAAAATAAGCTGAACAGCTTATCCAATGGTCTTAAAAGATCCTATACTATACAGAGAAGTTGATGATTGATGAGAGAAACAAGACTTTATGATTATGTTTATTCAAGAAATCATTGCTTGAGAAGGTTCTCAGCGGGGTTAAACATGTGCGATTGGACATGACAGCACGTGACAAGGGAGCGCCTGACAAGGGCAACCTTATTCTCATCATCAAAGGTCGTTCATTATTTTCCAAATTTCCGGAGCTATTTTGGCATGGAATATGAACAGCCTTGGAATATGGGTAAGATTTTGCTAGAATGTTAAGAATCTGAGGTGTAAGTAGGTGAAAATTTTGCAGGAAAATTGGGTGCCCTGGAAGGGGTCATGTTAAGGAAAAAACAACTTATCTTCGCAGCCGTTTGGTGGTCAAACACGCGACCTTGGCAGCCATGTTGGCAGTGCCTGAACGCCGCGTGAGTGGCAAGTCACCTCCTGACAGAAATACCGATTCTTGCACGCACTGGGTACGTAATAACATATCCAGCATGACTGGCCAGCCAACTGACCTCCAAGGAAAATCACCATTATCCCATTCAATGTTTAGGCAATGATACCTTCCAGTACTTTAACATAGACCCTGCCGTAGGGCTTCCTCGATTTTCTTATTATTTATAATTCATACTTTTTTAAAACAAAATATCACAGTGCTTGAACTTGTATATACTTTTCTGAAAAAAATAACACGGTGCTGCTACAGGGTCTATGTTAAGGGGAAATAGGAGCCCAAAAAGCTACAAAGATTCCAAAATGCAGAAGGGTCAATGTTTTGTTGCCCTCTCATGGGGTCCCCCCATTCTTGGAGCCAAAAAATGTTACAAATCAACAATTCTATAAGGAAACTGTTGTACAAAAAAAACAGATGTCGTGTTTTGTTTTTTTTTGGCTCTCCCAATTTTCTTTTATAATTTTATTAAAAACAAAATATCACAGTGCTTGAACGGGGTCTATGTTAAGGGGAGTTCAGAGGTATGACAATGATCCCGATTGTCTTGTATACACTTTTCTGAAAAACAAATAACATGGTGCTGCTACAGGGTCTATGTTAAGGGGAATAGGAGCCCAAAAAAGCTACACAGAATCCAAAATGCAGAAGGGTCAATGATTTCTGCCCTCTCGTGGGGTCCCCCCTTCTTGGAGCCAAAAAATATTACAAATCAACAATTCTATAAGGATTTTTTTGTACAAAAAAAGGAAGTTGTATTTTGTTTTTTTCCAGGATACCCCGATTTTCTTGCATCTACTTTTTTAAAAACAACATATCACAATGCTGGAACCGGGTCTATGTTAAGGGGAGTTCAGAGGTATGACAATGATCCCGAATTCCTTGTATATACTGTTCTGAAAAACAATAACATGGTGCTGCTACAGGGTCTATGTTAAGGGGAATAGGAGCCCAAAAAAGCTACACAGAATCCAAAATGCAGAAGGGTCAATGATTTCTGCCCTCTCGTGGGAACCAACAATTCTATAAGGAAACTTTTGTACAAAAAAAACGGATGTTAAAAAAAAACGGATGTTGTGTTTTGCTTTTTTTTGGGGCTGCCCCGATTTTCTTATATGTACTTTTTTAAAAACAAAATATCAAAGTGCATAGACAAGCCCAATGTTTTGCGTAGAAACCAGTGTGTTGGCCATCTGGCACTTTTTCACCAAGCATTATGCATGCCTCTGGGGAGGCAGAGTAGAGCAGGATATGGTGCCCAGGTGTATGTTAAACACCTAACATGCCAACATCAATGTTCATGTCTCATGCTGCTGGCACTCCTACTCAACGAGAAGACCCATGCTTTGCGGAGAAGCCAGGGTGTTGGCCAACTGGTACTTTTGAATCTACAGTACCCCCTCTGGTAAATTAACATAGACACTGAAAATAGCTTAGTTTTAATGGAAACTAATATTCCAACCCCTATTTGCCAGGGTCTATGTTAATTTACCAGAGGGTAATGTTCAAAAAGAAACAGCATAGACAAGCCAAATGTTTTGCGTAGAAACCAGTGTGTTGGCCATCTGGCATTTTTGGACCTAGCGTTGAAATGAGTTTACAAGAGCACAGAACAGAAAAACCGAGATCGCCTTTGGGGAGGCCATCGAAAAAAATGCGCTGCTGAATTTATTGATCGTCGTCGGAGAGTTTTCGGGGCTGGTTTACATAACCCTCTAAGTCGGTGTATGTTAAGAGGAATTTGGTCAATTGCAAAGGATTCAATGATTTTTTTGACACGTTCCGGAGGGTTTATGTTAATGATTTTTTGCAATGTTTACCATGCTTCGCGACTCCAAAAGCATCATTAACATACACCCTAGACCCAGGGGTAAGGTGTTATCCAATTTTCCTGTTTTTGCGGAAAAAAACAAAATACAACTTCCTTTTTTTGTACAAAAGTTTCCTTATAGAATTGTTGACTTGTAACATTTTTTGGCTCCAAGAAGGGGGGGCCCCACGAGAGGGCAGAAATCATTGACCCTTCTGCATTTTGGATTCTGTGTAGCTTTTTTGGGCTCCTATTCCCCTTAACATAGACCCTGTAGCAGCACCATGTTATTGTTTCTCTGAAAAGTGTATACAAGACAATCGGGATCATTGTCATACCTCTGAACTCCCCTCAACATAGACCCCGTTCAAGCACTGTGATATTTTGTTTTTAATAAAATTATAAAAGAAAATTGGGAGAGCCCAAAAAGAAACAAAACACGACATCTGTTTTTTTGTACAACAGTTTCCTTATAGAATTGTTGATTTGTAACATTTTTTGGCTCCAAGAATGGGGGGACCCCATGAGAGGGCAACAAAACATTGACCCTTCTGCATTTTGGAATCTTTGTAGCTTTTTGGGCTCCTATTTCCCCTTAACATAGACCCTGTAGCAGCACCGTGTTATTTTTTTCAGAAAAGTATATACAAGTTCAAGCACTGTGATATTTTGTTTTAAAAAAGTATGAATTATAAATAATAAGAAAATCGAGGAAGCCCTACGGCAGGGTCTATGTTAAAGTACTGGAAGGTATCATTGCCTAAACATTGAATGGGATAATGGTGATTTTCCTTGGAGGTCAGTTGGCTGGCCAGTCATGCTGGATATGTTTTTTTGTACCCAGTGCGTGCAAGAATCGGTATTTCTGTCAGGAGGTGACTTGCCACTCACGCGGCGTTCAGGCACTGCCAACATGGCTGCCAAGGTCGCGTGTTTGACCACCAAACGGCTTCGAAGATAGGTTTTTTTTTACCTTAACATGACCCCTCCCAGAGCTCCGCGCTGCATGTTAACAATCCTTGATGATAGTAGTTCGAAGTGCGTGTTCCTTGCGTTTTTACCTTAACATGCCCCTCCCAGAGCACCTCGCAGAATGTTAACAATGCTTGATGATAGGAGTTCGAAGTGCGTTTTCCTTGCTTTTTTACCTTAACATGACCCCTCCCAGGGCACCTCGCAGAATGTTAACAATCCTTGATGATAGTAGCTCGAGTGCATTTTCCTTGTTTTTTTTTCTTTAACGTACACCTCATTTTTTTACATATTTGCCGGAATCTTAACATACAGCTCAGATTTTTTTTGCTCAAAAATGAGGTGCTCGTTAATATTTAAGAGAGTAGTTCGAAGTGCGTGTTCCTTGCGTTTTTACCTTAACATGCCCCTCCCAGAGCACCTTGCAGAATGTTAACAATGCTTGATGATAGTTCGAAGTGCGTTTTCCTTGCTTTTTTATCTTAACATGACCCCTCCCAGGGCACCTCGCAGAATGTTAACAATCCTTGATGATAGTAGCTCGAGTGCATTTTCCTTGTTTTTTTCTTGAACGTACACCTCATTTTTTTTACATATTTGCCGGAATCTTAACATACACCTCAGATTTTTTTTGCTCAAAAATGAGGTGTATGTTAAAACACTAACATGCCAACATCAATATTCATGTCTCATTGCTGCTGGTGTTCCTACTCAACGGGAAGACCCATGCTTTGCGGTCTGGTAAATTAGCATAGACATTGAAAATAGCTTAGTTTCAATGAAAACTAATCTTCCAACCCCTATCTGCCAGGGTCTATGTTAATTTACCAGAGGGTATTGTTCAAAAAGAAACAGCATAGAGAAGTCCAACGTTTTGCGTAGAAACCAGTGTGTTGGCTATCTGGCATTTTTGGACCTAGCGTTGAAATGAGTTTACAAGAGCACAGAACAGAAAAACCGAGATCGCCTTTGGGGAGGCTATCGAAAAAAATGCGCTGCTGAATTTATTGATCGTCGTCGGAGAGTTTTCGGGGCTGGTTGTGCCTTCTGTATCTTCTGTATCTAGGTGTATGTTAAGAGCTGTTTGGATAATTGCAACTGATTCATGGATTTTGTTGTCACGGTCCACAGGGTTTATGTTAATGAATTTTTGCAATGTTTCCATGCTTCGCGACTCCAAAATCATCATTAACACACACCCTAGACCCAGGGGTAAGGTGTTCGTCAATTTTACAGATTTTGGACCACAGGGTGTATGTCAATATTCAACAGTGATGTTATTAATGGTCAATCCAAGATCTAGATAACACTTACCATGTACTTGATCATCATTTTCCCCAATGTACACCCAAAGCCACCAAGATCGCTATCCCCCGTTTGACCAGAAATGGTTGCGATGTTTCACTCGTCCCAAATCGGGTTATCTATTCTGCTTTGTTTGCAAGCCCCAAAAAGATACAGAACAGTAAAAAAAACCTACCAACATAGTTGGTGCTACTGCTACTACAAATTCCCAAAGTGTACCGTGGATTTTTTTTGAGTAGATTAACCTGATTTTGTAACGTTCACTGGGAAAATGATGCTGAGAGATTCCCAAATGGGATGATGATCCGGATTGATGTTGCTCCGTTGAAGTCACAAAGCTTTGACAATCTAAGAGGAACGTCGGTTGCTAGAGACCTAATAGCTACTAGGAAAATCAGTTTTGGACTCTAAGAGGAAAATATATATATGTATATTATTGATTATTATTGTCTATTGTATATTAGATTATACTATATTATATTAGATTATTATATTAGATTATATT